GGCGGAGGACCAGGTGCAGCCGCCCGCCACTTGTCCAGCCGAGGCCGGCGGAGGCCGCGAGGGATGGCCACTCACTCACCTGGCTGGTGACCTGAAATGGAAGCAGAAAACACAATTTAGGGAACGATCTTCCTTGCTCCGGAGCCCACTGCCCCGGCTCCTTCCAGGCCAGGTCCTACCTTGGCCTTAGCATCCAGCTGTGGCTCGCTACACCCCTCCATAGCAGCGCCCTGGAATCCCACCACCCACTCAGGTGGAAGCTCCCGGGGCCACCACCCCTTCCGCTTCCTCTTCCCGCCCCTCGCGGCCCGTCGCACGCAGCGGACGTGGGGGGAGGGGAGCAGAAACATCTTTGTGTGCCTCATCCTTAATCTCAATTAGACATCAATTTTATGGAGCCGATCAGTAACAACGGATACACTGTATGGGAAAAGGTCCGAAAACTGGCAGATACCTTGTGAAGGGAAGGATAGATTATCTTTTGGGTGCCGTCGCCCCCTACTTATTCCATGGACGTGGACTCTTCCTGCCTGCAGCCCAAGGCGCCCTTTGAGCGAGCGCTGACTTGTAGCTGCGCAGACTTGTTAGAAATCGATGCTAACCGAGTTTGAAAGCTGTGGGACAATCGCTCCCCCTTCCCCGCAGATGTTTGTCCTGCGAGGGAGATGCCAATGGGACCTTTAGTTTTATGATTAACTTCTGTCACTCGGATTCATTTCACTGGCCTAGCTTGGAGGTGGGGTGGGCATGCTTTTTTTTTTTTTTCCTTTTTTTTTTTTTTTTTTGCGGTACGCGGGCCTCTCACTGTTGTGGCCTCTCCCGTTGCGGAGCACAGGCTCCGGACGCGCAGGCTCAGCGGCCATGGCTCACGGGCCCAGCCGCTCCGCGGCATGTGGGATCTTCCCGGACCGGGGCACGAACCCGCGTCCCCTGCATCGGCAGGCGGACCCTCAACCACTGCGCCACCAGGGAAGCCCGGGCATGCTTTTTGTTACCCTCCTTCGTGGAGGATAACACGAAGTGCTGGGAGCTTTATAGTCACATAGGCCTGAATCTAAAACCCTCTACCACTCAGCTGTACGCCTTGAGTAAAGGTAGTCTTTCTGGAGATCGGCTTTCTAATCTGTAAAACTCAGGCTGTAGATATTTGTCTCACAAGGCTTTATGAAAGGTTCTGTGAGATCCCATATGTAAAGCACATAGCAAAGTTCCTGAACATAGCGAGTACTCAATAAATACCAGCTCCTATTAACATCGTCATGATAGTCAATCCTCAAAAGAAGCCTATAAGTTATCTAGATCACAAATTATCTCCATTTTAAAGTTGAGAAAATGGAAATTCAGGAATGTTAAGCAATATCAGCTAACTAATAGATAAAACTTCAAACTCTGGTTTTAATTTACGGACTACAATCTAATTTCAGAGAACTCCAGAGGGGTTTAGCGCTCCCAGAGTACCTGCTGAAATCCTTTTCCAGCTGCCTTGTGCTAATTGAATGTTCTATTTATACTCCAGGCTACTGAAAAATATGGATGATTGTGTGTGTGTTTGTGTGTGTTGCAGGGGTGTTGGGGGAAGTAGATAGTGGTGGAAATCCACGGGCAGCCTAAGCAACGATGCAGAAGGGAGAATAAGCATGATCACTGATGCTAGAATCATAGAGGTTTTAGAGCTTAAAGCAGAGTACGTACCACAGATTGTTAGATTCGGGGCCAAATTTGATGGACCTACATATTTAAAACAAAACAAAGCAAGTAAGACAAACTCTATCAGAAACTGAATGGCAATGCATTTAGATAGGTTTTATATGTTCCATATTGTCACTGTCCCACATTCTTCTTTCAGCTCACCTGGCCGAGTCACACATTCACCTGAAAGCTGCACGACATACTTTTTAACCTTTGGCTTAAGGGGAACTTATAGAGTCTCATTTTAAAAATGAGACCTAAATAGATTAAGGGCCTGGCTTATAGAAACACAACAATATTATGTTAGTCGTGATTTCTGATCAGGTGCGGACAATTTTTCATCCATACTGCGGACAGATGAGACCAAATTGTGTTAAGTTTTGATGTGTCCTTTTTTTTAAGTTAATTTTTTTTATTTATTTATGTATTTGTTTTTGGCTGTGTTGGGTCTTTGTTGCCGCACGCGGGCTGTCTCTAATTGCTGTTAGTGGGGGCTCCTCTTCGTTGCAATGCGCGGACTTCTCACTGCGGTGGCTTCTCTTGTTGCAGAAGCATGGGCTCTAGGCTCGCGGGCTTCCATAGTTGTGGCTTGTGGGCTTAGCTGCTCCAAGGCATGTGGGATCTTCCCCGACCAGGGATCGAACCCTTGTCCCCTGCACTGGCAGGCAGATTCTTAACCACTGCACCACCGGGGAGGTCCCAATATGTTCTTAAGTATTGCAATAAGGCTATGTTTTAGGATGGTTATTTGGCAATGCAACAAAGGCTAAAGGCAGATACAGCATGAAGACAGCTGGACGTATTCCTATTAAGACAAGTAATATAAGACAGAGTCATCATGGTGGTGTGCCATGAATGAGTTACAGGTGTGTAGCGAAATTGACACCCCCCCCCTCCCCTATAGCCCTAAGGAAAGCCAGGTGAGGCCTCATCCTAGAAGATTCCCTGAGCTGGTTATGACTGCAATGACAACCTTATTTGATTAAGTCAGGTATTGTACAAATACCGAATTTCATCAATTGTTAGATGCATATTTTTTCGCATTTGACTCCTGAGAAATCATACTGCACATTGCATCAGATGGCTGCTTACAGTGGCAGGTAGGCAGGCAGCAGGTGTGACTCAGTTGTTTTTGCAGGTGTATACATGAACTTGGTTACAGCTGTTCAACACTTCTATTAAATCACGGGTGTTGCTGGCTGTGTACATACTATGTTTAAATGCCATGTGAAATGCCTTTAAAAAGATTATGCTGTTGAGGAGCAGCTAAGCCCGTGCGTCACAACTACTGAGCCTGCGCTCTAGAGCCCGCGAGCCACAACTACTGAGCCCACGTGCCACAACTACTGAAGCCTGCGCGCCTAGAGCCCGTGGTCGGCAACAAGAGAAGCCACCGCAATGAGAAGCCTGCGCATCATAACGAAGAGTAGCCCCCGCTCGCTGCAACTAGAGAAAGTCCGCACACAACAACGAAGACCCAACGCAGCCAAAATAAATAAATAAATAGATAGATAGATAGATAGATAAATAAATGTTCCTTTAAAAAAAAAGATTATGCTGTGATTTGGCATAAAAAAAGTTACCAGGAATGGAACCAGGCATGGAAAGAGAACAGTGGGTTGTAAACTTAGATCAGTAAGGCAGATATGGGTTATTGGAGGAACGACCAAAATTCCATGTGTTCTTACAAACCAACCAAATTACAATTCCTAAAAAGATGGATATACTTGAGTAGATAAAACAAAAGTGTTGCTTATTTCAGTTCAAGGTTGGAGAAGTTGCCAGATCCCTCAGAATATAAGAAAGAAATTTATAAAAATGAGAGAGCAGTTTTTGAGTCTCAAATACTTTCATTAAGACATCAAACATCAGTTGTCAAAAACTTCCCAGTGTGTTTGAATAGAAGCTGCTGAATTTGCAACAGTTGCTGAAAAAAATGAAACTATGTCATGTAGGAAATAACATTTTTTGGAGGTTCAACTGCATGTTTTTATTTGGTTATTAGAATTTGGGGCAGCTGTATCAATTATCTGATGACTCCTTTGAATTTGAGTATGAAAATTTTTGGTAGATATAGCAATTAGGTGTTGCTGTGTAAAAAAGCCCTGTCCCCCACAAATTCCCAATGTCATACTACAAAGAAACATTTATTTCGCTTACATGTCTTGGGGGTTAGCAGTGAGTTGGCCAGTGGAGGCTGGGCTCAGCTGAGGTGTTTCTGCTATGCTCCAGGTGTCCTTACTCTCTTCCTGGAACCAGCAGGCTGGTCCAAGCTCATTCTTCTCCAGGTGATGACACAAGTACAAACAGCAAGCAGAAGCTTATTCAGGCCTGGATTTTGAACTGGCATACAATTATTTCTGCCCCATTTCATTGACCAAAACAAATCACATGGCTGAACTCAATGTCAAGGAGTGGGTAAATATACAGTTAATTCTCATTGTAAAGCTACCACGAATGCTGAGTTAGTAAATTCTGAACCATTGCTCCTAGTGGAAACAGGTTAGGTTCCTGTGAGCCTCTGGTCACATATTAATCAACAAATCAACACATTTTTATGTGTATTTTTGTTGAAAGTCCCCACATTTAATCTATATTGTTGATTCGTAAACATTGATCCCAGGGCTAACAGCACTGTAACTCATGCCTGAAGGAACTTATCTAATACATGTATTTTCTCTATAAGGCACATCACAGTCTTCCTGTGTGTGGAAACACAAAACAGCACATGAGCACAATGCTTGGAGCCATTTTATACAGTGAAATCATCAACAAAAAGCACACAAATGCCTAAAAAATGTGGCACTAAATAGACTGCAAAAAGGACACATTTCTAATACAAGACCTTGAACAAGAAGGCAGAGCACAGACTTGCTTGACCTCAGCTGAGAACTCAATTTTTTTGCCACTCTGAGCATGTCTGTGAATGACCTTGAAAGTGACATGGGTATTGATTTGGGGGTTACAAATAAATGTTAGCAAGTAGATAAATTCAAAATGCAGAACCCATGAATAATGAGGATTGACACTACTTTGCCCCTAGTGGAAAAAACTTCAGTGTTATATGGCAAAGGGTATAGATAAAGGAAGAATTAAAACATAGGGACCTGGGCTTCCCTGGTGGTGCAGTGGTTGAGAGTCCGCCTGCCGATGCAGGGGACACGGGTTCGTGCCCTGGTCCGGGAAGATCCCACATGCCGCGGAGCGGCTGGGCCCGTGAGCCATGGCCGCTGAGCCTGCGCGTCTGGAGCCTGTGTCCCACAACGGGAGAGGCCACAACAGTGAGAGGCCCGTGTACCGCAAAAAAACATAAAGCAAACAAAAAAATAATAGGGACCTTATACATATGTATAACTGAATCACTTTGTTTGCACATCAGAAACAACATTGTAAATCAACTCTACTTCAATTAAAAAATTAAAAAACAAAACAAAAAAAATGGGAGCCAATAATGCAGAATCTTGGGTCCCATCTTAGACTTATTGAATCAAAATCTGCATTTCAGATTCCCTAGGTATTTGTATGTACATCCAAGTTTAAGAAGTGCTGGACTCAGTACCGTGGTGGGTATATGCATGCCAGAGGCTGAGAGTTAAACCCTACAAACATCAGAGGCTACTACATTCATAAAGTTTTTTTTTTCTTTAAGTTATTTATTTATTTATTTTGGCTGCATTGGGTCTTCATTGCTGTGCGCGGGCTTCCTCTAGTTGCGGTGAGCGGGCTTCTCATTGTGGTGGCTTCTCTTGTTGCGGAGCACAGGCTCTAGGCTTCAGTAGTTGTGGCACATGGGCTCTAGAGCGCAGGCTCAGTAGTTGTGGCACACGGGCTTAGCTGCTCTGCAGCATGTGGGATCTTCCCGGACCAGGGATTGAACCCGTGTCCCCCGCATTGGCAGGCAGATTCTTAACCACTGCACCACCAGGGAAGTCCGTCATAAGGCTTTTATGGGTCCAAAGGTCTAGCCCATAATGACCTTTATGAAGGATAAGCTATTGTACCCTCCAATTCCTATTAACAGGCAGAGCACTTGGTGGGTTTCTGGCTTTTGGACGCAGCATACATCACATTTGGGAATACAGGTGCAACACGTTTATTGGGTGATATGGATGGCTGCCAGTTTGAGTAGATCCCTGAGCAAGAGAGTCCTCTGCAGCAAGTCCATGCTGGAATGCAAGCTGCCTTCTGTTTGGCCCTGTATCTCAGCCAATGGTGCTAGAGAGGTCCACGCTGTGTGGAGTCCTAGGGAAGCCCTAACAGGAGAGTCACAGTGCAGGACCTCAAGGTTCTGGACCAACGCCATTCTTCTGACAGTGAGTCATTTGAAAAACAACCCCTGGCATGCCACTAAGAGCCTGGCTGTGCAACTGAAGTGATTATGAAACTACGGCTTCCTATGATGAGCTGGACATTTCAGATGTACCACCTCACAGTTGGGTGGTATTGCAACAATCTCTCAGATAGATAAGGAGAATGGGGAGTCTTGGAAATTCCTTGGAAGTTGAATAGTGGCCAGAAGAACATGAGTGGGAGAGTTGGAAGTTCCCCAAGAAAGGCAAGCTCAGTGTAATTATCTTTTTCTCACTCCCTAACTGCTCCTCTCCCTGCATTCCCTCTCTTGGGTGCAGCAGTAACACGCACTCTACCCCAGGTCAGATCTCTGGAGTCGTCATTGACAGTGCGGGCTCAGCAGTAGGATACCCCCTTCAAACAGTATCTCTTTAATCTATGCCTGCCCCTCCTGTCCCTCCGTCACCACTACTGCCTTAATTAAGTCTCTCATCATTTCACTCTGGCAAATTTTCCACATTATTGAAAATGGGGTTTATGCATATCTGATTATTCCATTCACTCCTCAAATATTTATTGAGCATCTATGTATCAGGCACTGGGTTAGGCTTTGGGGAAAACGATGTGAGGAATTCAAAAATGACATTGCTTCAGGCCTTATGGAATTCACAGCCTGATGGAAAAGAGAGATGAAAATTCTCCTTAAAATCCTTCAGCGGTTCCCCGCTGTTTTCAGTATGAAGCCCAGATGTCTTGACTGGTTAGTCCCTTCCTATCTCTCCAAAACTGTCTCTAACCACTGCCCTTCAGTCTTGCAGGCTCTGCAGCCACAGTGCACACTTTCCCTTCTTCCGAGCACCCTCCTCTCTGACTGGCTACCATCGACTTTTTTAAGGGCTCACTCCAGCTGTCCACCTCCTCCAGGAAGCCTTCTGGACACTCCCTTTCCCCGTTAGCTGCCCTTTTGTGTAGTTTCACCAACCTCATGCTACCACTATCACACGTGTATCACACTTCATTGTGATTCTTCGTTCTTTTGTCCACCTCTTCTACCCTACTGTAAGCTTAGCTTTGTGTACCCAACATTTAGTTACAGCGTCTGATTCATAACAGGTACTTGACATTTTTTCTACACGGAACTTTGTAGGTATATAGAAATGTTCCCCACTCTGTAACAGCAGACAAGGCCGACATATCACTTCTGTACCCTGGCAAAGGAGCTTCTGAGCACGAGGGGCGTCTTCTGGGTGCGGGGCCTCCTGACTGGCAGCGCCCAGGTCCCGCCCTCGACGAACAGGACTCAGCGGCGCGCCCCCTAGCGTCTCCGGCTGACGCTACAGGCATGGGAGGGCGCCGGAGAGCACGCGGTCCCAGACCCGCGCTTGGCGCATGCGTGGCACGGGAGCAGTGCCGTCGTCTCGGAAGAGTCCAAGCGCGAGGGGAGAGAGCTGAGATTCTTTTCCCTTCTGCAATAGGAAGCTGGCTCCTATTCTTTTCCTTTCCGATTGTATCTTAATTTAAAGTGGAAACCTTGACTTGTGGTTCTGTAGGGAGCGATAAAGGAGCTAGGGTGTTGTTAGACTTTTCTTCGTCTCTCGGCACCCCTCCCGCGGGGCGCAGGGTTGGACGGGTCCAGGTCAGGAGCAAGGGGGCGGAAGCGGCGGCGGCTGTCAGAGCTGGAGAGGGGCCGGGCGGAGTGGCCATGGAGAGTCAACGCTGGCTGCCGCTGGAGGCCAATCCCGAGGTGAGCGTGGCTCGGGTCTTGGCCTGAGGCCGCGGGCAGGGGCGGAGGGCACCGGGCTGCCGCCTCTAGTCCCGGGCAGTTTGTCGCTAAATGGTGTTCTCTGTTTCGTTTTCAGGTCACCAACCAGGTGAGTGAGGCGTCTTGTCACTTGGGACCCTGGCCGCCTACACCCCTGCACTCCCCAGGAGTCTGGGATATAACTCCGTGAGGGTCCTTCTTGCTCAGCTTCAGACGGGCGTGCTCTGTTTGCGGCCGCTTCCCTTCCACCTGGGTCCTGGAGATGCTCCCAGCTGTCTCTGGTCCCATTCCCCGTCATCTGCGTTTCCTGGGTTTTTTGGGTCAGAGGTTTTGAGGGACGTTCACCCTGTATTCCTGTTCCTCTTCTCTCTTCGTTTTGCCTCCTGCTAGTGCCGAATCCATGATTGTCCCAGCCCTGTAACTTCTAGGTGACTAATTTGCCTGCAGCACCTGACTCGAAGCTTTGTAAAGGCTCCCACTCAGTCCTTGTAATCTCACCTGCCACTTGCACCATGAAATCATCTTCCAGTCATCTTCTCTCGCCCGATCAAGTCACTTCTCTTCTCTGACCACGCCCCCTTTCTCTTCCAGTTTCTTAAAAGTGGAATTTAGTTGCTTTTATACCATAGGAAAGTTCAATTCCCACGTCATCCTTTGCCAGCTACAACCCTTTAAGTTCGTTTGGGTGTTGGAGGTTCGGGATGGGGAAGGAAGAGGGAACATCTCGCAGCCTCTCGATCAAAAGGACAATAAGTGCTACCAGGTATAAACTTTTTATTTGCTCAGGTGTATTTTGTCTTCTCCTGTTTTTCATTCTCAACAGCAAGTTTACTTTTTACTGCCCTCTTAGTTTATCATACTTCTCTTCCCCCCCAGTAATCTTCCTTCTCATCACCAAGGAATAATGATTCATCCTGTTCCTCATTGGTTTTCGGTTTTGAAAGCTTGTAGAAAATTCCTTATATAAAGAAAGCAGATAGAAATGCTTTATTTTAATGTTGTCAGCAAACTATTTTTTTATTCAGATTTATTACATGCTATTGAAATGATTATTACGGCCTCAATTCTTGTCTCTTTAGTAATCTAGTAATTTAGTAATGAACAAAGCTTGGAACACAGCATATATCTTTCATGTTATTATTAAGGTGGCATTTCCTATCAATATTAATTTTCTTTTGTTTTACTCTCTTTGACATTTGTTGTTCATTTTTTTGCCTACAACATTTTGACAGCTTTGTAAAGAAAAAAATTTTCCTTCTGAAGAAGTCAGTATTTCCAACTTCTGATTTAGTGCCTTAGGAAGGAAGCATATTTCTCTCAGACCTAATTCCAGATATTTTTATAACTTTAGTTTAAAATCAATTTACCGTATATCTGGGCTCTGTTCTATTCTATTGATCTATGTGTTTGTTTTGATTACTGTAGTTTTATTACTGTGGTCTTGAAATTAAATAGTATGAATTCTCAAACTTCATTCCTTTTCAAAATCGTGTAGGCTGTTTTAGTTTCTTTGCCTATCGATATAAATTTTAGAATCAGCTTGTCAACTTACACAAAAAATTTTGGTATGATTTTGATGACTAGGCCTATAGATATATTTTGGGGAAAATTAATATCATAACAATATTGAGTCTTGCAATCCATGAAGATGGTACCTCTCATCATTTACCTGGGTCTTTGATTTCTTTCAACAGTGGTCTGTCATTTTAGCATGTCGATCTTGCACATTTTTTTGTTTGTTTATACCTAAGTATTTAATGATTTTTGGTGCTATTGTAAATGATGGTGTTTTAAAATTTCATTTTCTAGTTGTCCATTGCTATGTATAGAAGTATAATTTATTTTTACGTCTTAACTTTGTCCTGCTGCTGTGCTAAATTCACTTACTCTAGTGGCTTTTTTTGGTAGATGCTTTGGGATTTTCTATACAGACAGTCATATTCTCTGTGGTTAGACTGTGTTATTTTTCCCTTTTCAATCTGTATGCTTTTTATTTATTTTTCTTGTTGAACTAGTTAGGACCTTTAATACAAAATTGAGTAGGATGGAGAAAGAGAGGACATCTTTGTCTTGTTCTGGAACTTAGAGGGAAAACATTTGATTTTTGATCATTAGATATGTGAGGTGTAGGGTTTTGGTAGATGCTTTTTTATCAGGTTAAGGAAGTTCCCTTCTTTTCCGAGTTTGCTGAGAGTTTTTATCATGGATCACTGTTGAATTTTCTTAAATGACTTTCCTGTATCTCTTGAAATGATCATTTAAGGAAGAAATAATACTAATCCTACATAAACATAGAAGAGGGGGGCACAACTCATTTTATGGCCAGCATTACCAGACAAGCCGTAATAAGAAAAACTGTAGACTCTCCCTCATGAACATGGATATAAACATCCTCTACAAAATATTTGCAAAGAGAATGCAGCAGTATGTAAAAAGGATAGTGTATCTTGATGAAGAGCCATTTATTCTGTTATTGCAAAGCTGGTTCACTATTCTAAAGTCAATCAGTGTGTAATTAACTATCAACAGACTAAAAAATACAATCGTTTTTAGATGATACCATTATTACTTTTAATAAGATGTAAGCTTATATAATTGGAAGCCTATATTCTAAACCTACGTTCTAATTGGAAACCTTTGTTCCTAAGTAATCTTGGTAGACTATAAAACACATTCACTTATTCACATCAATTAAATAATATTCGAGGGGCACCTTTTGGAATACCAGATATCTGCGCAGGAGCTGGTTATATTTGGTGATGAAAACATTTATGGTTTTCTGCTTTTCAGTCCATTGGGAAGACAGACAATAAACAAGTAAGCAAACAAATAGTTAGCAATTATTATAAGTGCAGTGGAGAAAATTAATGGTACAGTGATGAAGACCATCAGGGAAAACATACTAGGTTGGATGGTCACAGGAGGCCATTCTGTGGTGACATCAACAGAGAAAAGATATTATTAGTATATGATTGTACACTATTTCTGGCATGCTTTGGTGTGGTTAAGTTTGTTTTAAATTTATTTTTTATTTTTTTAATTAAAAATTTTTGTGTGTGTTAGTTTCTGCTTTATAACAAAGTGAGTCAGCTATACATATATCCCCATATCTCTTCCCTCTTGTGTCTCCCTCCGTCCTACTCTCCCTATCCCACCCCTTTAAATTTATTTTTTAAAGAAGTAATGTACATTTAGTGGGAGAATGGACAAGTATCTAAGAAGTAATCAGTTTAACCAAAATTTTTGTAGTTGTGTCTTTATTCTCTTTATGTTAGTGGCAGAACTGAGAATCGAAAATGAATGGAAATTTAATTAACTCACTCAGAATTTGGAAAATTTATAAATTAAGCCACAGATTAATCCCAACAACAATATCCATCCCCACCTTTTCTTCTTTCCTCAATTGAATGGAATCATAGGCCTTTTACTTATCTTGATTTCACTCTGTTACCATCTGTTGGTTTCATGTGTCATTATACTCAGTATGAGCAAACACTGTTTAATGCTCTAACAATGCCTAGTTGGTATAAGAATGATTAACACATGTCTACTATATGAAGATTGTTAGAAACTGTTAGACGTTAACTAGTAACCATATGGCTCAGTAGATATGGTAAGTAGTGATTTCTTTTGTTGGTTTATATGCTGTCACTGCCTTCTCAGGATATTTTGTCTTGCTATAGGTAGGACTTACCTAGAATAAAATCAGTTAAATGATAGAAAAAATTATTTTAAAAATTGAAGCTCCATTTTATTTACATATGCATTTAAGGGGTAATAGCAGCTTGTAGCTGATGGAAAGTTACAGGTAATTAAGCATCAGGAATTATAACTTTTTTTTAAAAGAACATTTTGTGATGTGGGCAATCATAGAATTTCTTTTTATGACCACACTAGATTTTCATCTTGATTATGTTTTGTGATTTGAGTATTGCACAGCCACATTATGTAATTTTAAATATTGTGTTTTAGAACCACCCATTTCTGATGTGGAAATTCCCTAGAAATATTCCTAATTGTGGATTTTATTGAATAGGCAAAATATTTTCTGGCTGAAGGAAAAGAAATTTTCTTTAACATAATTATTGTATTTAGTTGCTTAGTGTTAGAAAAAGATTTAGAAGTCATCTGCTAAATTATTGCCATGAACATACAAACATTCGTTAGTGTTTCCCATCTTGGGAAAAACACCGTTGTTACCCTGACCTCCTCTACTACCTCCTCTCTGTTTCCCTTCTTTGTAAATTTTCACAAAGAATTGTCCATAGACGCTCTTGCTACTTTCTTATCAGCGTTTTTTCTCCCTGTATTCACTCCCATCTAGTTTGCTTCTATCCTCACCATTTCACAGTAACTACTTTTCTCAAGTTTACTAATCATGACTTTGCCAGATCCAGCGTTCACTTTTCTGTCACCATTTTCTTGATCTCTCAGCAACATTTGGTAGAGTAGCCCACTCCATCCCTCTTGAAACATTATCTTTTCTTGGCTGCTGTGATAATTCTGGTTTTCCTCCTATTTCTCTGACTGCTTCTTAGATTTGCCTTTGCTGGATCATTTCCCTTCCAATTACTAAGGAGTTCCTCAGAACTTTGTCCTACACTGCTAATCTTTTTATATTTTCTGTTGTATAGCATTAGTACTGTCAGTTGTCACCTATTCTGTGTGACAGATCCTGTGTTCCTCCAAGTCCTGACTTCTCTACAGAATTGGAAACTACTATATTCAGCTACCGCTTTTACAATATATCTCCATTTGGATGTCTTATAGATATCTCAAATTTAACATGGCTGAAAAAGAAATCTGGCTTTACATCCTCTCATTTCTCCTGCAAATCCACTTCCCCAGTCTTTTAAGGGTACCACCATTTATACAGTGCCCAAGTCAATGTCATTAATTCTTCACAACTATGCTAGTTTGGAGAGGCCATTCTTGTACTGATTTAATTTCTTGGGTTTGAATCTCTGCTCTGAGACCATAGGCAGTTACCTAGCCTCTTTGTACCTCAGTTTCTTAGTTTCTCATAACCCCTCCTAATCCTGTAAAATTGTTGTAAGGATTAAATAAATTGCTACATGTAAATTATGTATAACAATGTATAGAACAAAG